TGCTAATCAGAGAGCACACAGCCCCACATGGTGCTGAGCCATGGCTCAGAGGAACCCCGTGCCCCCTCTGAGCGGGTCTGGCCTGTCTCACTGCTGTGAAGGGAGGGAAGCGGGAGAGAGGTGGGGGGCGCCTGGCAGCCCCCACACCACCGGGTGATTCTCTTGGATCCAGCAGGCCTCTTCTCGGTCCCTCTGAACTCAGACCCTGAAATCCCAGCGTGGCTCCAGGCAGGCAGAGAGCACAGCTACGACCAGCCAGCATGAGGCTGCTTGCGTGTGTGGGAAGAGAATCTTGCTATTTGGTTTGTATTAGAAGCATCTCTGTTACTTCCGGTCCTTACACGGATCATGGTTTGTTTTGTTTTAACCTTTGCGGAAACATGAAGCCCTAGGCCAGCTCAGCCCTCTCGATGTGGAGTGCTTTGTGCAGAGCGAGCGTGAGACCTTCTACGGGTCAGGCAAACGCTTACTTCCAAGCCTTCCCGGGGCCGGACTGGGGCAGGACACGAGGGGAGCGTGCCCCCTGCCTTGGCTAGGCTCTAGGCCAGCAGGAGGAACGTGGGCGTGATGCCCCCGGTGGCCTTCAGGGTGCACAGAGGACAGGTGTGTGCCTGCGTGTGGAATGTGGGAACAGCCCGGGGGAGCAAGGGGCCGGCGTGCACCGGGTGTGCTAGGCTCAGCCCCCGGGTGGCCGCTGGACCGGCATGGAAGGCGGCAGGGAGACAGAAGCTTCGTCCAGACTCCCCACACCTGTGGCTCTGGCAGGGTTCAGGCTACGTCCTGCAGGCCTCACGAGACGGCTTCTACTGCAAGACAACCCAGAAACAATGCGGGCGGGGCGCCAGCTCTTCAGGCAAGCTGTACCGTCAGGATGAGGCGTGCCCTGTCAGGGACCCCCGCTCCCGCCTCTGGAGATGGGGACTCTGAGCCCTTCCAGCAGGAGGCTGCTCAAGCCCTTCCGAGAAACGCTGGGCCCTGGAGCTTCTCTGACATCCCCCTCCCAGGCGCAAGGTGGCTGGGCTTCTGCAGGCTGTAACTGAGACGCTCCTGCTGTCCGGCTTCCTTTCTTTCACTTGTTGAGCACCGCGATGGAAAGCCACCCTCCCTCCCCGGTTCCCTCCCCCACTGCAGACAAGCAATGCTCAGAAATCACGGGACAAGAACTGAGCTGGTGGGGGCAGCGCTGCAGGGAACTGCTGACCCCGAGTAACGACGCATGCTCCGTCCGTACAGAAGGCTCCAGAGGTGAGATGTGAGATGTGAGACGGAGCTGGGGATGGGTGGCTCTCCCTCCGGCCCGCAGAGCAGGCCTCGCCTCGCCCTGGGGCCTGGCTCCCTGGCGAGCTTTCAGTCTTCCTCCGGAGAAACACACTCAAGTCTTCAGAAAATGAAAAGGGGTAAGTTTTCACAAAAGCCCAAAGTCCTAGCTTCTGTACAGCTTAAGGAGCAGCCACGGAAGGAGAACAGCGTTAACACCAGGCCGTGCCGGGTGTCTCCCACCCTTCTGTGGGCACCCGCTTCCCGGCTTTGTCCTCCACGCCGAGGCGTCCTGGGAGGCCCGAGGGCTGTTCCCGAGAATGGGACCATCGAAGCGGGGAGCGCTGTCTCCAAGACACACGGGAGACCAGTGCCCAGCGTGGACAGACCGGGGGGCTCTGCTCCTGGAGCCCAGCCGCCGTGTGCTGTCCGCTCCGAGACCCCATCCTGGGGGGTCACAGAGCCAGGCAGTGGCCTGCCGTCCACGAGCTCTGCCGTGGGTGATGCCTCTGTCATGCGGCTCACGATGACGCTTGCCCAGGCTTCTTTTCAGGGACGTGGAAGCCACTCTCAGAAGTACCAATTCTTCCTCTGGGTCTGCACAGGTGTCCGATGGTGACTTCAGGGCCCAAATCTCTCTCTTCCAGCCACGTGGACACCACGATATTAGAACAGGTTCTCACAAGAGCCAGAAGCTGGACCTCACACGTGCAGACCACTGCTTCGGCACCAGGCAGAAATCCCTGCTTCCTGTCCCCGGAAGTCTCCCAAGCCCCGCCCTCAGGGAGGCGGATCTGAGCCCTGGTCCTCCACCTCCCTACCTTGTGTGGCACACCATGTGATTGCAGTGACTGCTGCCCGGCGCACGGGGCAACACAGATCTGGTGGGGTGCCACACGAGGAAAGGGGGCTTCTCCCTTCCTTTTCAGAGCAACTCCTAGAAGGAGCTTGTTTAGACAATGTCGTTAACCATGTCAAAGAAATGCTTGTTCAGTGGATGAAAAATCAAACACAAGACAGTAACAGAAAGGCTGCACTCTGGCTAGCTGTTCTACCACCACAGCAATGGAAGTGAAGGTGGAGGCCTTACTTAGAAGGGTAGTTGCTGTTACTGGTCAGGCCTGAAGAGGTCCATACAGCAGGACACACCAGCAGGGCAGGCTTGGGCTTGGGAGCCTTGAGTGACCCAAGGTCTGAGGGTGCAGGCACGCGCCCTTTGTTGATACTGCATCTGGGGTGACTCCAGTGGGGGTACTGCGGGTGGGTGCCCACTGGACAAGGGCCTGGGTGTGGACTCTGGCTGAGGGGCAGTAACAGGTGATGCCTGCACTGGGGTCCTTCACCCACTGTGGGGCGTGGCCAGAGCTGGGAGGGCCAGTATGTCAGAGCAGCAGGAGCGTGGTCAGTACAGGCCTTCGCTGCATAGAAGTCGTCGTATTTAAGTCTCCTCCAGTGCCAAACTAATAATAAAGTCTGGCCGTGGGTCCTCCCTTTTTGGATATCACATTAATTGATTATTCAGTTGAAGCCTGGCCTGTGTTGAAGGAAAATACAGTGCTATGACTTAAATTCTTCCTTTAAAATACTTTCTGACATCTTGAGCCTCTACAGTCATGTGTATTTCTGTGAAATGACAGTGCATTAGTCAGCCTTTCTCTGACTGGGACGAAAACCTGACGTGCACAATTCAAGGGGAAGGCTGTTTGGCTCACCGTTTCCAAGGGTCGGGTCCATGGTTTGTGGATGAAGCAGGAGCATCATGACGGAAGGTAAGGCGGGAGCAAAGCTGCTCTCTCCGTGGTGGTTCCGAAGCAGAACACAGGGAACAGCACCAGACAGGAAGGAGGCAGGGGCCAGATAGTCCCCAACCTGCTGCCTGGGACGCACCCAGACACACCCAGTGTGTACTTGAACCCGCTAGGCAGCTCTGAATGCCACTCAAGTTGACAATCAAGGTTAACTATCAGAAAAACGTGTTGGTAGGGTTTTGCTCACAGTACTGAGGTTTGGTAGTTTCTACAGCTTGGCGTTCAACCACTACTTCTACCATTACTTCCAAATTCTAGTGATGGATTTATTGTCTAGGGATTTTTTGTGGGGCGGGAGGTAGTGGATATTGAACCCAGGGCCTCTGGGCTGAGCTGCATCCCTACCTGCACCCTTTAAACAAAAAAGTTTCAGACAGGTTCTTGCTAAGTTGCCCAGGCAGACTGGAACTTCTAATCCTCCCGCCTCAGCCTTCCAGAGTGCTGTGATTACAGGTGTACTTGCCGCCGGGTCTGACTCACTGTGTAGGGAGCTTTTTGGCCAAAGGCTTAAAGTAAGAAGAACTTTCTGTACCTAAGTTCTTCACTAAAGAAGATGCCACTCCGTTTTGTGGACTTCGATTCCTTGCTTTTTTGGGGGGATGTGCCAATGTGTCCCTACTAAACATCAGCACTTGTGCAACGCAACACACTGCCCTTCCCTACCAACAGCTGTGCGTGCGCTGCCGTCCACAGCTCTGGAGGACGGGACAGGCCGAGCGTCCGCGGCGCCTCGAGGCTCCTGGAGCAGCCTGGCCCACGCATCACCCAGGCAGAGGCACCTGGGCCCCAGCAACGAACCGCTCCCATGCGTCTAACACTCACGTTTTGCTGCGTACTCGACAAACAGAGCTCTAGCAGGAGGACCATGTACCACGAAACTCTGCCCTTCCCTCTTTTCTTTCGGATTTTCATTTGTATGCGTCCATTCTTGCGGTACACGATGATAACATTCCTGCATCCTCTCCTCCACAGACGTTGTTATCTTGCTGGTATCATGCCACAGTGACGCAGGGCATCAGCTCTGCGCTGGGGGCCAGGCTGCAGTGTGCAGGCGCCCGCCCACGGGCAACAGTGGGCAAGGGCTTGGGCCCCAGGGCTCCCGAGGGCTGAGTGTGTGCTCACCCCTGAGCACTTTCCACACACGCAGGAGCATCCGACGGGCACATTCGCTGTGCAGCTGCAGGACCACGTCCCTGTGCACATCAAGCTGCTACGGTTCGCGTCTCAGTGTCCCGCAAAGCCTCATGCGGTCATGGGGCTTTGTCAGAGGTGGCTGGATCTAGAGGGTGTGACGCTGGGATTAAGGTGTGTGATCAGTAAGTCAGTCCACTGACGGGTTGGCATAGTTCTGGCCAGGATTAAGGGTGTGAGCGCTACACCCGCCCTAGGGCGAGCAGCCTGCATGCAATGTAAGGACAGTGTCACCTCTCTCCCTTGTCGCTGTTGCCCCTCTACCACGCGACTCTGCCTTGGAGCCAGTGGATATGGACTGAAACCTCCGCAAACCAGGAGGCAAATAACCTTTCCTCCCTTCGCTTTGGGTGTTAGGTATTCTGCCCCAGCAATGAGAAAAGGAACTAGGACAAGTGCCCTCACACATGTCCTGCAAAACCCAGCGTGGGCGTGGCCTCCCGCTCCTGCCATCACAGCAGCTGCCGGGGCTGAGGGGGCTCCGCGGTGCTCTCGGCACACAGCAGAAGCGCGTGATTGCGGCCCGGTGGCGGAACTCAGACAGGACAGAGGAGCTCCGCCACCGGCAGCTGGCTCCAGGAGCTGCACACCCTTGGAGACCCGGCCTCCTCCTCACCTGCGGCAGGCAGTGACACCCAGGCCATGGGTTTGCTCAACGCACCTTTCACACCTAACATGCCAAGATTTACCAATTATGCTTCTATAACTATTTTTGAAAATGTTTAAAATAGAATGAAGACAATATTTTTACTTTTAACTTTTTAATGGCGGCCTTTATGAAGCCGCATTGAGAATAAACCCCTTGCAACCCCCAAGTTTCTGAGAACGATGACGCTGCCTGGGCTTGGCCCTCCCGGGGCAGGGTGGGTGCGGCTCAGCGCTTCTTCCAGGTGAACTTCCGGCGGGCGCCCTCCTGGCCCGGCTTCTTCCGCTCCCGCACGCGCGGGTCGGTGGTGAGCAGGCCGGCTGGGCACAGAGAGGAGCAAACATGAGCCGTGGAGAGGACAGGAGGAGCTCCGCAGCGATGTGGGGGAGCCGCCTCGGCCCACAGCCCTGCTGTCAGAGCCCGAGGGGAGCAGCCGACCCGGACTGACCGGCCGCCGGGAGTCTTTCTCGCTTTCCTCATCTGGGGTATTTTCTCAGTTTCTCAAACAAACCCAGCTCACCCTGTGGAGCGCGGTGCTCAAGGGGACCAGAGACAGAGACAGACAGAGACAGAGAGGTGTCTGTGCGAGGCCGGGCGCTCAGACACCACGGGCCAGGGGCTGCGTGGACACAGCTCGGACCCGACCCGCCACGCGGTTGTGCCTCCTGTGACAATGACCTTCCTCGACTTGGCTTCACAGTTTTATTCTCAGCACAAATGCCTTACTCTAGAGGAACGAGGGCGGTTAAGCCGGAAGCCAAATCTCAGGCAATCACCGAGCTGCGCTTCGCACACTGTCTGCACGCCCGTGCTGCGGTGAGGGCCAGAGCCCCGGACATGAGGCAGCACTGGGGGACGCGCCCTTGTTCTCTCAGACGTTGCTCAGTGGCCAGGTACCAAAGAAGCTTAGTCATCTACCCTGGATCCAAAAAGCCTTTGCATTTATTTGTAATTAAAAGGCATGCATGGACTAAGACAGTATTTTGGGCAAAATACAGACAAGACCTAAGTTTTTGTGTGAATACTAATAACGTTTATGACTTTCAGATATGCACAGTACCTCACACCAGTAAAACAGCTGTCACATCCTTTTAATTTTTTTAAAAAGTAGATGAAGAATCCCACAGAGAGGCACACTGTTTATGAATAAGTGGACTTTTGAGAGGCTTGAAAGTTAGGTAAATTATGCCAAAGGCAGTGTTTCTACCGAGAGCCGACGGCTCACCTGGGGACCGGGTCCCCACCCCCAAGGCCGGAGGGGGCTGCGGGCCGGGACTCGGCTTCAGCGTCACCTCCCAGGCCCGCCGCACAAGCCGATGCTCTTGTCCACACTGCAGAGTGACTTGTGTGTTCACCCCCAGGGAACAGGGCCCGGGGTAGGGAAGGAGAGGAATCCAGACGAACATCACAGTGGGAAAAATGAAACTCCCCAGTACTTTTTGGAAAATCCCAAGGTGTTTCATCATTGGGCAATATGGTGAATTTCTATGGTAAAACCAAACCAGCCTGCCTCAACCACAGGTGAGTTAAGTACTTGTTAAGTCAGACCAGCGCCAACGCAAGCGTGCCCGGCCCTCGGACTGACGTTACAGCGGGGGCCGTCCGCGCGGCTGCAGTGCCTTCGCCTGCTTATTCTACCTCACGTTAACTCTGCAGCGGTCCGGCCTGAGAATCACCCTCAGGTCCCGCAGCACGGAAGGCCCAGCACATGGCCCACACGCTGCATGGTGCAGGTTCCCAAACCCTCTCACTGCCTCCGAGCCTGACAGTGCTGGGCGCACGCGTGCCCTCCCTCGGCACATACCTTGCCGCATCCACTCGACCTCGTCCTCGCTGACGAAGCTGCACAAGGCCCTGGCCACGGCCAGGCGGATGGCTCCTGCCTGCGCCGACCTCCCGCCCCCGGACACAGTGCAGGTCACGTCGTGCTTCCCAAGCCGGTCCAGGAAGTGGAGCGGGAACATCAGCTGTTCTCTGGAGCAACAACAGCAAATGCAGTTGCCTGATCTATGAGCACAATCTAACCATGAGGTCAAGGCAGGGCTGGGACCTGCTGTGCAGTCACTGGGAGTTCTATCCAACTACAAACTACCAGGCAGAGCACCAGCCAGCAGTCCCTGTGCTGAAGTGACCAACCCCAGGAGCAGGGTCCCTCTCGGGCACTTCCTGAAGGAAAAGCTCTCTGTACCTTCCCTGGGAGCAGCAGGGCAGAGCTAGTTTAATTTAGACAAATGCGAGTGAACATGGGCACAGTAGGTGTACATCTCCCGAGGCAAGCATTCTGCCCAGCAGCCCTCTGAGCTGCCTGGAAGAATCCTCCGCCGTCCTGCAACCTTAAACATCACAGCGTGGGGCTGGGGATTTAGCTCAGTGGCAAAAGCGCCTGCCTGGCAAGCGCAAGGTCGTGAGTTTGGTTCCTGGTACCGGAGAAAAACAAAAACAAAAAACAAAAAACAAAAAAAAACATCACAGCGTGCTCGGACACAGGATTAGGAAGGGAGGAGCTAATCACACAGAGCTTCTGGGACCTGTGGATAATGACAGCGACTCCTGGAAACACGACAATCGTCTCAAGAAGGGCCCCTTCTCCAACGGCTCACAGAGAGCTCTAAATGAGCACATCTAGAGCATTAGATGAACCCTAACATCTACTTATAATGCCTACTTCTCCTTGGGACACACAGTTTAGAACATGTAAAAGCCCCAGTTAGCACCGGGAATCAGGCAAAACTGATCAGCCCTTATTTTAACCAACAGATGTCAGGTTTCTTTGCTTGCTCTGCATACGTACAATCTACTTCCTTGGACCAGTAAAATCTGAAGCGATGCGGGCATTTCTTAAGGCTCATTCTCAGGAAAATGAAGGCAAGCTCTGAAGCCTGCTCTCCTGTCCTTGGCTAACCCTGCTGCCTGGTGGTGGAGAGCTGCGGCGGGCGGGGCCGCTGAGCCTGTGTTTGGTGCACTCTGGCTCCTAATGACCCGAGGTGGAGTCTGCTTTTCTTACATTCCGGCATGGACTGCATTTCAGAACCTGCTACATAGCTAAGAATTTTCAAGTTCCAGTGTGGTATGATGAAAAGAGGAGGAAGAGGCAGTTAGTAAAAGTTTCCACAGATGCTTCATAAAAATTCTGAAAACAACACAAAGAGCAACAGCTTCAGGTAGCTCGCTTGCTCTACTAGTGGAGAGCAGCCGTCATTAGACGGCGCCGGCGGAGCACAGCCTTCTCAGCTGACCGGGGTGCATCACAGAACGTGCGCTCCGGAAGCAGAGGCCGAGAGCAGCACCCACCTGTCCTGCATGACCGGGAAGTACCGCAGGTAATCCACGCCGTTCACTCGGATCCTTCCACTTCCATGCCCAGAGACAACTGCTTCTGCTGTTGCAGTCTTTCTTCTACCTTTAAAAGTTTTAAGTTCATATTCGTAAAAACCTTAAAGACAGGTAGAACTATGTTCAAATTAATCTCCCCAGATAACAACAGACAGCACTATATTTAGGAGACTTCTAGAATATCGGTCAGGCAAAAACAAGATACGTGAGCCACACCACAACTGACATAATACAGCTTACCATGGGCTCATTCTGAACTTCAATTCCCTTTTAGGAACACTGTGATGGTTTTACATATGGTTTCAACGGCCTACACAGTCATTCGTATTTATTTACCTTCTTAAAAAACAAAGTAACAGAAGCTGGGCATGGAGGCGCACGTCTGTAATTCCAGCCCTCTGGGAGGCTGAGGCAGGAAGACTGCAAGTTTGAGCCTAGCCCAAACAACCTAGTGAGACTCTTATTTCAAAAAAAAAAAAACACCAAAAAAAAAACGAACAAAAAAAACCAGTTGGGTACAATCCCTAGTACTAAAAAAAAAAAGAACAAAACAAAAAACCCAGAAACAATTTACACAATGTTACTGTTACTTTATAAACTATGAGAGTATATCTAATACAATATTAAAAGCATGGCAACAGTATAACGAAACATGTGCAGGAGAAATGAAAGGAGCCTTCAGGGGAGGTCTCTTCCTTGGAAAACAGTGCTGAAACAATGAGGAGGGACACGCTCTGGGAAGCAGCAGCGGAAGTGGCAGCAACAGCTCACATGGGGCGGGCCCTGGCCGTGCCAGGGCACGTGCAGACGGGGAGGCTGAGCCGGGCTCCCGAGGTTCTCATGAGTTTCAGTTCCTGACTGACACACTGGTGCCCGAGACTCTCAGGTTTGGGAGTGAGGCCTTTGTTGTCAGTGCTTTATCGATTCTACTAGTTGAAAACGTGAGAAGGAAAAGTGTTAAGGACTGTGTCGGTTCATATCCCCATGTTTTCCTTGGGCCACTGTAAGGTTCAGTTTTTAAAAACTTCAAAAGAATCATAAAATTAGGAAATCCAGTGTAACACCAGCAAAACCAAACCAAACCAAAAGCCACTGGGGCCAGGGAGCAAGAGCAGAGGAGGCCAGGGGCCCGCAGCGCCCTGACCGCAGCGGTACCTTGGCCGGTGCTGAAGGGCATGCCCTGCGCGTCGTGCTGCACGGGCGGGACCTCCTGCCTCTTGGACTGCACGGCCAAGCTCCTGCGAAAGCGGCTCACGAACTCCTGCTCGGCAGGGCCGCTCGCCAGCCGCCCCAACTTCTCCAGCAGCCGGATGAGCTGTGTGTACTGCAGACAATGGAATTCATGAGAGGAGGCAAGTGCAATTGCATTTGCTAAGTTTTTTCTATTTTTATGTACTTGATCTTTCCAATGTTTCCTTTCTTGATGAATTCTGACAAGATGACACTTCCGCATCTTCACGCTGCTTTTAAAACAGCGTGCGGACACATCGCCTGCCCTGCGGGTCTAAAGGGCCTGATCTTCTCTTTTGAGAAACAAAGAGATTTATCATTCTAAGAAAAGTCAGTTTCTCTGAATTATGATTATGAGGCTGAGATTTAAATTCATTTTCAAAAAACTATTTAGATGATCTTCAAGCATAATTTCCACTCTTTATTAGAACTGTATCAAAAGGAGCATTAGAAATAATTTCCAGTAAGTTATGTAGAGCAAAATGTAAAGAGTCTGATTTTGAGAAAATGTACCTCTTAAATTATATTTCATAATACATTTGGCAAATATATTTTTGGCTGTTCAAGCTGTGTTACTTTAATGTTTATGATTTCCTTTAAAACCGAACAATCAAGCTATTTAAAAATTCAAGAGATACTTGACTTAAAGGGCAACCTCTTGAAATAAATTATCCTTGCTACTCCGTGCATTTTTTTTAATAGTTCTTGAACATGTGATTAGAAAGTAAACAACTTGGTATTAACCCCTTAAAATTAGAAGCCAGAATAATCATTTTAAAGTGTTTATGGAGACGGAAACAACTAACACTTGAGCCCCTTGGTTAATATGGATCACGAAACCCAGCTTTTGATAACTTTTTTTAAGTTTTTTTTGCCAACCCTAAAAATCACACTGAACTCGGTTACCATTTTCTTTTATCATGAAAACCTGCCAGTAATACACTGAAACAGTGAAGAATCTCAGCAATAAGATTCATATTAAAAGAACTGGTTCAACTACAGCTTCCTGTGATGCAGTAACGACAGGGGATTTTCCAGGGCTGAGACGCGCCCCCCTTTTGGCCCCCTAACAGCTTTGCTCTCCCCTGTAGGCAGGGCAGGGCCCTTGTCCTGTGCCCCTGCCTCTGTGCACCTCCCACACTCTCTACGATCACTGTTTAAACTTCAAATGTCACTCCAGGTGCCACGTGACTTCGCTGGCCAACAGTGCTTCATGTTCAAGAAGCGGCCGTCCAGTCCCGACCCCTGCATCTGGGAACCAGCCACGAACTTCAGGGTTTCTTTTACTATCTGGCGCTCCGAAAGCAGAGAGTTGGCAGAGATAATCTGTTTGGTTTCACTGGTGCACACCCGTATTAAGTCCTGGGAACAACCCTGAGTTACAAAAATCAGTAGCCAGACAGCAGAGAGAACAATGGAATGATACACTCAGTGAACAAGCGAGAGACTCCTTCACTGAACTCGAGTGCAGAGCACTTGGGCAAGGGTAATCAGAAATTCACTCTGGATTCAGTACACCAAACATCTGACGTCTTGTTTAAGCAAGTTACTTTTCCGAATCATCAATTTCTCCAATATGTTAAAGGAGCAAATGAGCAACGGAAGAAGAGGACTTAGGGTGTACCAGCATCGAGGCACAGTGCTAGCCACAGTCCTGGAAGAAAAAAGCCTTCTTGGAAGGATCTGTGAGATTTATCTCCTTTCAAACCTTCCAAGGGTCATCTAAACTTAGAACATCCCCGTCCCTCGGTCATGATGAGCTGTATCAGACGGCCCAGCGCAGTGAGAGGACAGTGAAGGGGAGTCACGCGCTGGGCGGGGCTGCGCAGGACGGTGGGCCTGGGGTGCCCCAGCCTCCGCCCTGGGTCTGAGTGAGGCCTGGGATGGGGCAGGTGCCAGGACACAGGGGCGCAGCTCGCTGTGAAACCCGACCTCACAGACGGTACGGGAGTGAGGGTGGGAGCCGCCGAGGACAGCGGGCTGCATCCTCCTCCTAAGCTACGCTCCTCTCGAGCCCGCAGCCCAAGCAGCCTCTGCTGTGCTCCCTAAATCCACCCAGCGAGGCCTGGAGCCTGGACGCAGTGCTTTCTGACTGCACGTGCCCTCCCCCACTTCAGAAGTCAATAAGGAACATGCTACGCAGAGGAGCACTGTCACAGGAACCCCTGCCTCTGAGGAACCCTACTATTAGGGTCCTTAATACAGCAATTGTCTGCATTCCTATGGCACAGGTCCCCTTAAATTAAAAAGATTAATTACTCACATCTTGATCTGACAGTTTTTCCACTAACATTTCTTCTAGTTCCTCCTTAATCAGCCATCTGCTGCCAATCAGGTCTCTGTTAAAATATCACATATATTCTCTTTTTAATTAACCATGCAATTAGAGTTATATCACAAAAGATCCGACATACAGTAGCAAGTCATGATTTGCAAACAAATTTTCATATAAAGTATTTTCATCCAAGTAAACCATTTTTGAGAAATATGACTCTATTTCCTCAATTTACTTTAGAAAAGACACTGACTCTAGTAAATGTTTTGAAGAATCAAATACGTCACGATGGGTCCACTTATTTAAAAGCTTGATTTCCTGAAGGTTAAAACTGTGCCCGGAGAATTGGCTTGGAACGTTTACGGACACAAAGTAACCTGCCAGTGGGCTGAAGAACTAGTGAAATCTAAAGGAAGGACCAGGAATACATCCACAACTTCAACACAGTGTGCTCAGAGATTTGCAAAAAAATTAAAAAGGAAGGAAGAAAGAAAAAGCGATAAAGAAGAAAAGGAAAGAAGGAATACATGAACAGGTAGTCCAGATGTTACACAGGTAGCACAGGCTGCTGGACTTGATCTATTGGTGCTCACCGAATGAAAGCACCGGGCTTGAATGCCTCTCCCAGCACACAAGTGCTCAATTCATGTAAGGCCATAAACATCAAAATTCGGAGGACATCAAATCGATACAGTGATTAAGTACTGCTTAATACATGTGAAATGAAGTGACATAAAAATAGCCTCGGTATTTGCTTCCTCCTAAACAAAAATCACCTATTATTTGGAACCCTATATTTTAATAATTAACGCTGAAATACTGAATCATTATTAGGCTTCAGATACACCAATCAGTGACATGTTTTGGTTTAAAGTTCACTATATTCTAATATAAGAACTTACAAGACTTCGGTGTTTTCTGGCAGCAGACTTTTGGGTAGCAACTGATTTTGCTGATTTTCAACCTGGAGAATCTTTCCATATATGTCCTATGCAAACAGAATACAGGTGCTACAGTTAGAGAAGGCATTTACAGTGAGGGTGCATTTACACTTCTTCCCCGTGAGGAGGAGGACTTCTTATGTGGCCTCCCCGAGCCAGCTGCAGGGCAAATACAGTGGAAATGCTTCTTAGTATAACTGCTACTCACCCAACTAAAGGGTGGCACGTCAACGAGACGTGGTATCGCACACAGAGCGCACCTCCCTTTCCCCGACTTACAGACAACTCTAAGAGCTCTGCAGCTCCATGCCAGGGAGGACGCGTACAACGGCAGAACGCTTTTATAAGCTATTTGTTTTCCTTAAGAGTTTCACAATAGGATAAAAAATTTCCTTACGCAAAACCGTAACTTAAGACAGCAATATGTATTTAAGCTTAGAAAACTACCTAGACTTGTGATATTTATAGCTGGAATATCTCACAATTTTACATATTTAATACTGTGCATGTGTTTGTATCTTAGAAGAAATTTTTCACTGTATTTTTGATTATTTTATTTCTATTAATTGATACAACATTAAATCTGTGAATGTGTATCAATTTTTAAACTGTAATGGGAAGAGAAAATCTGTCAGTTCATTAGGTTTGTAAAAAATAATCCAGCAGTAAGATGATCTGTGAAATGTATTCTCCAGGCACTGAGTTTACCACAAGTAAAATAATGCCACGGCCTCCTAACAGCGTGGAATGACCGAACTTGATGTTTTGAGGGCCATTCTGAATTGAGTCTGTATGAATTCATTATAATTTGCGCATACCCCGGTGTACTAAGTGTCTAACGAGGCAGGCGTTCCACACGATGAGCTGCAGCTCAGCAGCAGAAACCCAAGGCTTGCCCAGCCGGAGCGTAGCCTTGGGTCTGTGCCCCAGCATGGGGGGAGAGGGAGGAGCTACGGATGATAAAAATGACTGCTTTTGTTTTGCTAATCATGATGGCTTCCGATATCATTACCTGTGTCACCTGACACAATTTGTTACTGACAGAGATGCAATCTGGATCTCCAACAGTCAATAATTTCACATTGGGAAGCAGCTTTGGCGCTCCGGTCAGGCTGCCAACGTGTCGCTCGCAGCTTGTTCTGAGGGGCCCCTTTGTACTGTCGTGGGGTCTGCATTCTAGTAGTATTTCATCTGCAGTCTCTTTTTGGGAATCTGCTTCTCTCACCGGGAGAAATAATGCTAAAGAGTAAGAACTAAGCCTCTGAGCACACAACATTAAGGCAGGTGAGCAAAGCTGAGATGATATCCCAAGGGCAGGATGAAAACCTCCGTTCCTTTTGTCTGGGAGAAAAGCTTTCTTGTTTTGTGTTCCCCTAAGGGCGGTACCACTGGTAGTTTAGAAAAGAAAAGGAAAAGATGCAGAAAAATAAGAGATGCTACACTCAGAAGCTATTCAATGGTGCAAGCTAGAGTAGCAGAGGCCATGTGCACCGCAAACGGAAGTGAATCTTCCTCCAGCTCGGTCCTGAAGGTGGAGGCCCAGGCCAGTGGCTGCAGCATCCAATCCAAAGTGCTCAGAAACCCGCTGAAGAGGATGCTGTAAGGGCGTCTAGCAACCCTGCCAGCAAGGAACAGGAATTACAGAGTCACAAGAGGGACCAACAGCTTCAGTTGATTCCTCGTGCCTGTGGGCAGGAAGTGTGACCACGCTACAACCGCTTCACTGACACAAGTCCATCACTACAGCAGCAGAGAAATACACACACACATTTAAAGTGGAAGACGCAGTGCTCACAATGAAAAAGCAAGCACTCACTCACGTGAACATCCACATCTAGAATATGCATGCACCTCTTATTCAACTCCAAATTTTACACGCTGTCTCCCAAGGATTGGAAAGCCTTGTCAAGTGTGGTTAGGGTACCTTGAACTCACGTGTGTGTGCTGGGATGGGCTGGGACGGGAACCTGGGCTTCATGCTGGTTAAACACATCCGACCCTGAGCTACATCCTCATCCTCACAGCGCCCTGGCCCCAAGGCCTGTGGTTTGGAGAGTGCAAGGGACAAAGATGGTACGGCTTTCAAATCTAGCTCAGGATTTATGAGCCTAGAACACCAACAACAGTAACAAGGTACTCTAGTACTTGAAAGAGCGTCTTTAACTTTTTGGAATAACCAAGGCAACTATAATATTAACAATCGACTTTCTTTGTAGGTAGGTTTCAAGTCAAAGGCTGTTAATCACAACATTACAATGACTTTTGAGCAAGGTACACTTGAGTACATATTTTTCTTAGAATATTCTTTCATTCTGCTGTTTCCTTCCAGTGACCTATTCACATCTATAATGTGTAAATGGTGTAGTAAAATGATTGGGTGAAAAAAATGTGAAAAGGGAGAAAAACAGCCATGAAAAGCACACATCCAACTTCAAACACAGCAAATTCTATTCCTTTAAGGCAAATGGTGATTGTAACCCAACAAATCGCACAACGTGGATGACTCCACGCTATATCCTCTCTTTTGGGGGGCGGGGGGAAGCTAGAGTTTGAATCTAGGGCCACACGCATGCTAAGCATGTGCTCTACTACTGAGCTACACTGCTAGCTGTGCACACGTCTTCACTTAAAATACATGCGAAGAACAGCACAGTGCCTGACCCTGGCAGGGCAAGTGCAGCTTCCCAGGGGCAAATGGTCTAAATGACACCAGGTACCATTTCTATGAATTCTCTTGCTACTGCATAATAAAACTGCTCTTGAGATTCTGCCATGGTTAGAGACAACAGTTCTCCGGAAAGTCGATTCTGCAGCTTCAACTCCCTGAAGAGATGCATTCTAATTTACATCAAAAAATTCTTGAGGGTATAGAAGATGCCAGGCACAGTCAACATCACAGATTATCACCGATACATTGTTAAGTTTCCACTTGATTTTTAAGGGACACTAGAGAATTACAGTGACCCCACCTCCACTAAGTTTATACAGTGTATTTAACAGTGTAATTTTCGAATATGGTAGGAATAACCCAGATGTGAAATGCTGAATCATTAATCACAGCTATGATTAATATTTCATAAAATCAAAGCAAGGCTTTCCACCCCTCATGCCATCAGATTTCCATAATGTATGAGTCAAATTTAGAAGGTGCCTAATTTGAAAATACCAGATGCTCAGGTTGCAGAAAAGAAACGCTTAAAGTAAACCTCTCCAAGAGCACGAGCAGTGGGATTTTTAGTATCCTTCTAAAATCTGATGTGGCTGCATTAATTGTATGGAAATTCCAATGTGAGGAAGGATAAACAAGTAGCATTTCATGGGGGACAGTGGCATAGGAAAAGTCACAAAATAGTAACAAACCAATAGCAATTATCATCTTAGATGTTAGCTTAGTAACTTACAATCTGTGTTTGTTAAAGAACTCACAGAAAAAAATGTCTTAACTGACAACTAATTTTTTGGCCACAGGGATACACTCAAATCAAATGAAATAAATATAAATGTAATTCAAAGAGGTCACTGTTATGGACCTGAAGTTCCAAGTGACAGCTCTGCTGTAGACGGCTGCTGCTCCTTTGTGAACACAGCCCACACGGTTTACACACTGCACGATGGCACTCAATGGAAAAAGGCAGGCAGCTCAGCTAGAGCTGACGTCGGACACCGGGGAGGAGCACAGCGAGTGACGACGGACAGCGAAGCGTGGAGACTCGGATACCATCGAGTTTAACTTCTCCGATCACAACCACGCATTCCACAACTGCACCTTGACAAAAGAAGTAACCTGACTGAAATCAATGTAGAGGCAACAATAAGTTGGATACACTTTTTAAAAATTAATTTTCCCAGCTGTTAGACAAGAAGCATGAAAGATATATAATGGTAATTATTCATATGTGAGGAAAGTGTACATTAAAGACACCTCTAGAACGGCAATTTCTACTACTGATTTCATTACTGAATTAACTCCTGCTGTCAAGAAGTCTTAAAGCAGCATGCAGACGGACTTAGCAGCAGTCCGCTGTGTCTTAGAAGTGAGTACTTCATGTGGTGGTAGAACAGCTCTCTTACAGAGGCTCACTGGGAGCAGAATCACAATTTTAGTACCGTTTCTACAGGTAACAGCACGACGTCCAGCAGCGTTCCATGTCCACCGCGTGGCCACAGTCAGGACCTGGCAACACGGGCACTGGCCTGCGTCTCCTGGGCTCGCCGCAGCTGTGGGCTCCACAGCTCTGCCCGGGCACTGGTCTCAGGCTTTAAGCCCTGGTGCCTTCTGTCATTTGAGAGGAGCTGAGGACCTACGAAGCCAGGCGCGTCTGTCACAAGGCAAACGAGCCCCGTGTACACAGAAGTGAGGAGGACTACAGGTCGTTCACTGTATGTTAAACTTTTTTTCCAACTCTGCACACGAGTTTAGGTGTGCACTGAACTGCCCAGCCCTCCCTTCACACCCGCGTGTGGTGTAAGCCTCATCATGCTGTGTGCAATTCCCTCGAGCTGAAGGAATACTCTGCAAATGCTTCACTCCTCACTGTGAAACTCATCCTGGGCTGTAAGCGAGCTTCTCCACGCTGCCAGCTCCCCAGCTCGCCGCTGGGGTTGCAGAGCTCCCTCCTGTCAAGGCCAGGGCCAGGGCCGTTCACGGCCAGGCTAGCGTGCTCGTAGTCCTGGGGCTGCCGCCAGCCTGCACCTGGGGCGGCTCTCACCTTGCCTTTGGGGGTCTCACTTAGAGTAACGCCTCTCAGGACACCTGAGAATTCCCAACATTTTGGGCAGCTTTGCCCAGCACGTGTCCCTGTGACGGGACAGAATGGGCACCCTGGGAGCACCACGGCCCGCTCCTTTTGAGCACAACGGGCAAAGCAGTAGCTCTCGTCAGTTATGGCCGTGGACCCACTGAAGGGGCCAACCAACCACGGGCCGAAACCCCACAACTGTGCAGAACAAACCTTCCCTCTGTTTACGTCCATGCTCTCAGAGTATTTTACTAAGTTCGACTCACTTTTAGTGAGTGAATTCTAATTTTTTTCGAAACCACACGTATTAGTAAAAACCATAAACTTAAACCAACGCTTTTCTTAAAATAATGAACCTACGCAAATTGAAAGGTGACTCCTGAGGCTGCAGACGTGCTGTCCACGAGCACAGCACACTGTTCCCGCTGCCGTCGCTTGGTTGTCCTGGACAGGCTGAGGCTGTGGGGATGCCCCACCCCAGGTCTCCCCGAGGTCGAGACCCACAGGGGTCCACTGCAGTCCTACAGCGGAGTGCCCGCCTCCCACACACATCTCCAAGCCCTTCAAGTTCTCCCCTTTCCCTCAGACTTCTGTTCAACTGCTTGGAAAACTTTTTCTGTAGAGCACACAGCTTCTACTGGTTAAGTGGTGATCAAGGACACGGAGGCCTCTCCATTGGGCAGGAAAAGTCAGCCTGGCCGTTGTCGCTAAGTGCGAAGGCCCCTACATTACTCAACAATGGATTGAGACTCGGGAGATCGCTTATTTTTCTGAAACTGCTTCTCACTGTTTAAGAATTGTGCTGGTACTGTTTTACGTGTGCATTACTTATGTCTGTCTTAGTGATACTGTAAGGTAAATGGGATTTCAGCAGCTTTCCCAGGAATCTGAAGACACGGACTCACTGGTCACACCCATAGGCAACAGGAGCCCTGCCCGCCTGCGACTGCACCCGCAGCGGGCCTCACTCAGCGTCCCACCCCCAGCGTCGCTTTCCCGTCGAGCTTCAGTTCTTCTCATCACTGTCTTTTCTCAAAGCCCTGCCCAGTTCTGCACAAACGCTGGACAGAGTGAATGCAGGCCAGGGGGATACCGTGTTGACGAGAGCATTCTAAACTGCCCTAAACTGCGAGCTGCATCAGGACCACCTTCCATTAGCTCCTGTAAAGCAGCACACATGCTTAACGCATGCAGCCACCAGACGCCAGAAGACCTGGTGGATCACTAAGATGGGAGAGGTCAGCGGAGCCTGGGGAAGCCTCACACAGCCACACACAGCTGGAGATGGTGCTGGGCACGGCGCTGCCCTGCCCGCTATGCTCGCATTGCTGCAGCTGGTACTCAGCATGGCGAGCAGGGCTGCTCAGCGTCCGCCCCGTCATATAGGACCGAATCACGCCAACACGCGCAGATGCAGCGACAAAGGTCCGTCCCAAGTCCTGGGAGCCTTCGAGTGCTCAGGGGCGACCCCCAGTGATCACACAGGACAGAAAGGGCGTCCCCTACCCCAGAAGGCAGAACAAAGGGAGAAGATACACGAGGCGGCGCTGGCATTCACAGCTGGCCTTTACACACTGGGTCTGGCTTCTCCACACGCGCCTCTGTAGCTGGACGGTGAATGCCTGGTTCTGTGTCAGAGAGACAGTGTCTCTTCCGGCAGTTACTGTGTGCCTTCGAGCCGAGATGCCCCGACCTGGCTGGCATTAGTGACGTGCTGCTGGGGGTGCTGGAGCGAACGGCAAACGAAACAGCAATGGTAGAGCTGAGCTCGCACAGCAGCGCCCAGAGAACTCCTCTGTGTGTCACAAAACCTGTACTCCTCAAAAGAAAAAATATGTAGCCAGACAGAATTTGACATTTTAGTCAGGGAGCACGGTAAGATTTTATCTCCTGAGAAACCAATCAGTTGCTTTTAAAACAGGAAAACAAACTAAAAATAAAGTTAGGCCTCGTACACAATGTGTAATTTCTTCATTATGATGGAATGCAACAAAACATCTCGCCCTTGGCTTGCACGGTTCCAGCCCAAACAAATGCAAATGGCTTGTCAGATGACAGCTGCTGGATCAGGCTCCCGAACAACCTGCATGCTTTACTCTTCCCCGTGAAACTTGGGATGAAAGGCAGAAGGCAGGAAGAGAATTAATGTAGCATACAATCTAAAGGCAATGCTACAACCGTGATTAAGTAGAAAAGTTAAAAGGCACAGATTTTCCACAACCTCGCTGCGTGCAAGCCATCCGTGTAACAAGTTGACAGGCCTAGCGCGTCAGCTCCATCATCCTCTCCGACAGCTAAAGCGCAGCACCGCATCCCTTTTCAGAGAAAATTTGCGTCTGCACCATGAAGCGTTGTACATTATTTCTTAGCACTGCAGGGGGCTCAAGTCCATATGGAACCTTCACAAATATTACCACAGATCACACCAGCGGCAGTGGAGGCAGATTTGACATACCTATTTAAATGAACAGCGGGGGGCCTCGGGCAGCCTCGGGCTGTGCAGGGAGCGCTCTGCAAGGCCGGGCCGCAGCACCATTACTCAGCAAAGACACGCTCCGCATTTATCATTCATTTCATTTCTGCCAGGGCAGGAAGCTCATTTGCCCAAGGTCAACAGAAAGCAAAAAGAAGGCTTTCTTTTTTTTCCCCAAGAAATAAATGTACCTGCCAAGTGGGGATTTTATCCTTTGGGTTTGTGGAGCACAATAGACACCAGATAAGTGTAAGAAGCAGAGCTAACGTGTCCACCGACTCAAGCCACTGAAACCTGACTGTGGATGGAGGAAGCCTGGAAATATTTGACTTAAAATCACACAATGGTACCTGTACAAAAGGTACAACAGAAACTGTGGAAGGGAAAGAAACTGCTCAGAAGGAAAGAGCAACTGGGATGGGGGAAAGGAGAAAAGAGGGAAAGAATATATACACAAGATAGCTAAGATAATTGTACACATTGCTATTAGTTCATTGAAAGGAACACTTAAGTGTTTACACTGTTTGATCAGTCTTCCATGCTTATGTCTGGTAGTCTGAGTAACTAAAGGTAACAACATGCAATGTAATAACCATTGTTCATTTCCTACCATCTTGTTTTGAAATTGTGTTACCATTTTTATTGTTTTATTATCTTTAAAATTAAAAAAAATCACAGAATGGGTAAATCAGAACTTCACATCACGTTCTAAACATAAAGTGGGTTCTGCTGTTTAAAACTGGATACTGGATAGGGGCTGGGGATTTAGCTCAGCGGCAAAAGCGCCTGCCTGGCAAGCGCAAGGTCGTGAGTTCGGTTCCTGGTACCACAGAAAAACCAAAAAAAAAAAAAAAAAACCAAACTGGATACTGGCATCTAGCCTCGTTTTTCATAGCAATTCTGGGGAATGTTCCCAATCTGCATACTACCAAACACGGCTCTCAAACCACAACAAAACTGTGCACAGTACCCTCAAAAGCAGCTGAAGTGCAACTGCGTTAAAATCATTTTCCAGGTTGCTTTTTGGGCCTGCACTCTCAACTCCTCACTGAATTCACCTAAGAAAGGTGGTCTATGATAAAGGAAAACAGAGACGGAGGTCAACGCCCGCAGTCCCGGCAGCTCCACACCTGGCCTCCCTGCCCGGGTCAGGGCTGCACCGGGTCACTCCTCTCCTAAGAAACGGCACAGCCACTTGTCATGCACACTTCTGGGAGGAGGGTACAGGGGGCCTTGTGCACGCCTGGCAAATGTTCTACGACTGTTTACATCCCCAGTCCTGTACGTGAAAGCATTAAGGACAAACCATTCTGAGACACATTTTGTAAGGTTAGCACAGATAAAGTATGAAGCACTTCATCAACATACTGTCTTAGCTCTAGGAGTCTTATTTTTGTCCACGATAAAAAACTAGGTAAACCCTGAAGCTGAATGGCTCTGTAGCTCACAGCTGGTGCTGTTTATCAGGAACGTCACATACTCACGTGCATTAACGAGTAATAGGACTGCTTGCCAGTGTAGAAGAGAAAGTGGAACGGACGGCCATCTTCTCCCCACTGCACCGCTAGGAAAACGTCAGAGAGAAGCAAATGAGAATCCAGAGACAGGCGTGACAGCTGTATTCAGTCGCAGCTAGGAGACACATTTACAATTCTCATTAACTTTAAAATAACAAAAAAATCAGTTTTTAAAATTTATATATTTAGTTAGCACATTTATAATGCAAATGTTTAGGATATTTCATGTTTCATAGCTGTAAACAGAAGAACCATGTTTGTATTTAATAAAATATTCTACTGTGAGAAGCTCCATAATTTGTTCTAAATAAAAACATGTAAAGTAGCCTAAATTACCTTGTTAGATTAAAAAAAAGTTGTATCTGGCTATAAGTACACGATGCACTCCCTCGTTCAAGACAAGTGACAGTCAACCACACGGTGTGCTCCGGAATTTGAAACAGGCATAATATCCCAAGACATAATCTCCCAAATCAGAGTAAAGGGTTTGTCTTTCCATGCCACATCACTCGTTTCAGCCTGGTGGTGCTGCGTCTCTGAAGGATTAAAGCGTCCACAGCAGCAGGGGCTCACAAAGGAACTAGGTGTAATCCCTGCTGAAACACAGACGGCCATTCCCATTGAAGAGCCACCAACCAACCCGAGAAACAGGCGACTGCAGCCAGGAAGCCAGACACCGACTCCAAGCGTGGCCTTTGCTCACACTTCTGTTGCGTCGCTTCCATTAACCGACTGTAGCAGGCCTGCACATTAACACAAGAACTACATCTCCCCAGTCCTTACATGAACCGTTAACTAGTTAAGTATTTTCTCCGTGTGCCACTTGCCTGCTACTCTGTGGGATTTTTTAAGATTGAGAAGCTACAAATGTGCATCATATGGTTGAATCTGTTGCTTCCTCTCAGCCACTCTTTCATCATGGGTCCCACCAAGGATCCCTAGGCCCCTCCTCCCCACGACACTTCGGCATGGGCCTCTGAGGGCCACCAGCCCATGAGCACCACAGTCCCTACCCCTCCATGAAACAACCCTCACTCCACCAGAAACCAAGCTTTAAAGGGCTTGGCTTCCCTCCAGTGATTTTCTTCTAGAATTTTTATTTATTTTCATGTTCAGATATTTAATTTATCTGGAATTCATTTTTATGAAACAGAAAGCCAACCATTATTTTGCCCAGTAAGAGGGCCTTTGTCCTGTGGTGCTTTGGACGGCACGGGCTTTTCTGAGATCCTGAGATCCTGCCCGAAGCATGTGTAGGGCATGTGTTTAATCTCAGGATAACCAGTTCAGGCAGAGATGGGCACTTTAGTGCACACACTTAAAACGAATGGCATCACAAACAGTGATAGAAGTCTTGATGAGCATTTAGACGGGAAGATATAATCATATTACTTGCCAGTGGCTTACAGATGATCTATGAACTTGTCCCCCCTCACTTTCACAGACTTCATAAAATCCCACACATTTTTTTAGTATTTGTATCTGTACTGAGCATGGATTTTGACTGTACTGCAAAGCAGTCAGTCATAAAATAGCAAAAGGGACCAGCAATATGGCTGTAGACAAGGCTGTACAGATAAGCCTGGGCAAATGCTGGAATTAAGCCTTAAAAAGGGGGTTTATGCATGTACTTGATTGCATTACATGCCTGTGTACACGCATATACACACTCAACTTCATTATATGCACACACACACTTGACATATACACCCATACATGCATGCATACACACACATACTTGATTTCACTGAAACTAAGGTGCCACAGATTTTACCTGCTTGTATCTAGATGTCCCCCAAAGCCTTCGGTGCTCATAGGTGAGGCACTGGGGATCATGCGTGTGTGATACTGGATTGATTGTTACGCAAACTGGTTCAGTATAGTTCTGAGTGTGGATGACAGACCTAGTAAGGAGGGAAAGCCCACCTCGGGTGTGGGCAACACCAACCAATAGGCTTGTAGCCCGGAAGAAATGAAAAGGGAAAGAGGAGAAAGGCTTACTGTTTCCTGGCTGCCCTGCCCTGAGCTTCTGTCCCCTGCCTGCCTCTCTGCCTTGGAGCGAGCTGACTACAGACAACCTCTACAAACTGTGAGCCAAAATTACCCTCTCCTTTAACTTATGGGTGATGGGTATTTTGTCCCAGTGACAAGAACGAGACGAAGGCATGTATTTATAACATACCACAAAGTAAAACACTTACTATAGCACGTACCAGAGCTTATCCTACTTGAAAAGTGCATCCTGCTGCTAGGTTTCTAAAATGTGGAAAAAATGTATCTTAGAATTCACAAAAAACTGACAGAAGCCTATGCTGGTCTGCACGCCTGGCTCTGCTACATGGCCCATCTATCCTACGGCAGGACCACCTTCTGACTATCAGAGCTTTCTGCTGAATTCTGACGTGAGGCGCTGCGAACACCCACTCCCCCCTTTGCAGAAGTCCTCGCTGCTTCTTGCACCGTGAAACTTAACAAACTGCCCCCCAAAACATACTATGACATTAACTGGTAATTTATTAATCCTGAGAACAGCAGCTTGGACTATTGTCTTCTCTTACAAGAACGTGGAATCTTTTTTCCAATTACTGAGATTTTTCACCAGTTAGTCTTACCTAAGTTTTATAATTTTCTATGTAAGTCTCTCACAGATTTTGCATATTTTTTTATTTGTAAATAGTTCAGCTCCTTTTGCTGTTCACCCTGCCTCCTCCCATTTAGTTAACTATAACAAAAAACAGACTTCAAAATCGATGACTTAACTCACTCAGGTAACGCACTGTTCTTACAGAGATTAAATATTAGGTTTCCTCAGTCAAAGGCAAGGAGAGTTTATTATTCTGGACTCTGCATTTACATACATGCACCTGCATGAAACTAAGTATGACTACTGTATTTTTAAACAAACAATCCTAAGTGGTATTACCGTGCATCTACAACACACACTACACTGTCTGTAGTTGCTTTTCCAGCCTGACTTCTCACCTGTGCTAACGTACAACAAGAGCCACCTCTTTTCACCAACTGCACATATCCCATGGCATGACTCTGATAGTTTCTTTAGCTACTTGACGATAAAGTGATAAATATGTACATTGTTTCTGATTTAGTTCTTGACAAGTAATATCTACAATTTCTAATCTCTTGGGTAACGGCCTCTTTGTTATTGTGGTACAAGATATTATCTCTGGTCTCAGATTTTCAGATGTTTACAGGCTACTTTTTCTTTTCTTCATTTATGAATTGCTTATTTTCCTTTGCTCATTTATCTACTAAGCTTTTTGGTTGTTTGTTTTTAAGAGTAATTTATTCTAAATATCATTATTTGGGTATCATGTTTCAAATTTGTTACTCTTTTTGTTAAAGAGAAGTTTTTATCTTCAAAATAGTTTATCATCTTTGCCTTTTGCTTTTTTTTTTACTTAAGGGCATAACATCTGTCATTTAAAAAATATAGATGGCTCTATATTTATTCCATTAACCACCTTATTTAATTCTGTTCTAGTTTGAATTTAATTCTAAAGATGCACCATGACTTTTAAAAGTCTTCACCCAACTGTCATCATCTCAACACAATCGAACAAGCGATTCTGTAACATCCCACTGAATGAATTAGAAGTCACCAAGTACACACATGCACATCTACATGCAGATGTAAGCACAGATCTGTACATTTGGGATTCAAGTCTTAAAATGGTTCTTGTCTGCCTAGACACAAAGACAGAGCAAGCCATTCGCCGTCACCATCCAACAGAGCCCAGCACCGAGCGTCACCACACCCCTCCCTCCACGACCATCCCTTCCTCGGCGCCTCTGGTCGCCATGGCGCCACTCCCTGCCCCGGGATTTCCAGTCAGACTGCAGCCTTCCCTGCACTGGGGCATGGTTCATAAAAGGCCCTATTGAAAACGTGTTTAGAGCCACACACACTTTCACTGTTCTGGGTTCAGACACCATTTATGGTTTAAGGTTTCTCATTCTCTCGGTGGACAATCACAGCATCTACAAAGGATCTTCCTAACTGGAGGGCACTGAAAGCCACGTGTGTTTTGCACACTCGTAAGACTTCCAAAATCCTGAGTAACAGAAACGAGTGTGGATACCTTCTCACTCCTGAGTGAGTGGAATCTAATGGTATATTTTGAAACTAATGTTTCTGTTCTTCATTACAGTCTTCCCTAAACTTTTATTTCTAGTGTAAGCATTTTTCTCAAAAAAGCAAAAGTTCACTTTTGTTAGGTGACTTTATTTTCTTCCTCTATACATATACTTTGATCTCACACAAAGAATTACATTAATAAATGTCCACTGTTAAACCACCCTTACATTCCTGGGGAAAAACGTTCTCTGCTATGCACACCAGAACTTTAAAGCTAAGCTGGGAGCTTTCCTCCTCTTTTCCCGCTCTGCGATACAAGGGGCCTTTCCTCGGAGGTCTGACAGACACGCCGACAGACCTTTCGGGCAGTGCCCTGTGTCGTGCCTTTGACTTTTCTGGGTTTGGTCTCATCTGCATTTTTAAAGCAAGACCACTGCGGCAACTGACTACTGTTAAAGCCACAAGGGTGAAAAGGTGGGCACAGACACGTCCCAAGATCACATGGGCCTGTCGGTCACTTTCTGACTACGAGTCCTTGGTAAGTTACTCAATGTACTGTACTTCCCACATCTATGAAGGGGGGAAAGTAATAGCGCGTGTTTAATAAAACCACTGTGAAGGTTTTGCTATGTGCAGAACACTGGGGACTCTGATTGGCTACTCCAATTTTATTTTTTACTTTAAAAAGAAAAACAAAAACCCCAAAAAACCCCCAATAAAAATGATACAGAATTTCAAAACAAGATAAGGAATTAACAATGGTTATTATATTACATATTGTTATCTTCAAAGTAGGTGCTCAGATTACCAGATACAGGCATGAAAAACTGACCAAAGATATAAGCACTAACTGCTCTTTTCAATGAACTAATAGAAATTAGTAGTACAATTATCTTAGCTATCTTGTGTGTATATATTCCTTCCTTTTTTTCTTTTTCCCCATCCCAGTTGTTCTTTCCTTTTGAGCAGTTTCTTTCCCTTTCACAATATCTAGCTATTCCTTGGGGGACTGTTCAAACAAATTAGAATAAAATCCGTATAATAATCTTACATTTAAAAAATATCCTCAATGTCACCATTTAAAATTCTTAGTACTATGCTTAATACTGACTGCTCAGCGGTGGTGAACTTGTCTACCCTTTGTGAGACCCGGGGTTCAATCCCCAGCACTACAAAACCTAAACTGAATAAACCCAAACAAACAAATCTAAAACCCCACTTCGTATGTTCTTTCATGCTTTTTTGTCCTTGACCAAATTGCCAGAACTGAATTGATTTCATTGTTTTTTTTTTTTTTCCAAAGAACTAGCTGTTTTATCTTACCCCTTTGTTTTAATTTTTTCACTATTAATGTATGTTTTCTACTGACTTCCTACACGGAATACTTACCTCATTTCAGCCTTTTAGAATTACCAGCAGCACACGTTTGTCTGCCTGATACCATGTCCACCCCCGACAGGGTCTGACAGGAGCTGTTCCCACTCTCATGCATCTCAAAAGCCTGTAACCATAATTCTGATTTTGTGTTTAACTCAACTGTGATATGGTTCTATTATGACAGAAAATCTAATTACTAGGATCTCTACTTTCAGATCTTGTTAGTTTTCTCTATGGTCTATGATATCATAATTCTACTAATATTCCACAGGCACCTGCATAGAAAATGTATTCCGTGCAGGCCATAGTAGCATGTCTGTAGTCCTACCCAGGTGGGAGGCTGAGGCGAGAAGATCACAAATTCGATGGCAGTCTGGCCAACTTAGCAAGGCCTGTCTCAAAGTAAAATTTAAAAAGGGAGTGGGACTGTTGCTCAGCTGTAGAGAAGAGGAGCCTGGGTTAGCTGATCAGTAAGGCAAGAAAGGGGAGTTATTTATTCTCTGTACTCTACCTCTAGCTGTAAAGTCATGCTGTGTTGTTCATATTTTACAGAATTAGTTAACAGCTTTTGCTTGACAACACTGCCACGCTAAGTGTTCAGTGCAGCGAGGCTCACGGTCAAGTCCTCCTGGGGGCTAACAGGGGTCACTGATGAAAGCGAGCACCGCTGGCTGGCAGAGCGTCTCCCAGCTCCTCCAGCCCAGGCTGCGCAGCCTCGGTGCTTCTTGCTGCGGCCGTCAGCCTGGCGTGTGTCTTCCTCTTCCCAGTATTCTGGCACTGGCAGAGCAAGATTCTTGTGTCAACTCAATTCAGAAGCTTCCACCTTTTTATAAGCGAAGTGGCCGTACAAGTAGCATAAGTATCTTGCTAATTCTAGGGGTATTACTTAAATACAGTAAACTGCAACCAGCTGAAGACGACCTTAAGATGCGGACGCCACGCAGGGATACATGGAAGTATCAGCTGTTTCATTTCAGCTTCTGCAACCATGAACTTCTAACGAGGAGAGGGTGGTACAGGACTTCAAGGACAAGCAGGTGAATCGGAAGACACACAACCGTAGAGAGGGATGGAACAAAGAGAAGGAACAGGCAGGGGGTCTGAGAGGCTGAAACCTAGAATAGGACACAAGCAAAACCCCTGCCAGGAGAGGCATTTATAAAAAAGCCCCGGCCCGAGCATCGTGCTCGGGCGCACAGCGCGGGGCTGTGCTATCCCTGTGCAACTGCTGCACGCATCCAGTGCAGCCCTCCTCACCCCAGGGCTGTTGTTAAATGTATGTCCTGCATTCTGCAGCCAAGCGTGTCTAAGTGAGGAAGCAGGAAACAGAGAATACATTTATAAAAAACTCCAACACAAGTTACCATTTCCAAGCCTGGAGTAAAACAGGAGAACAGAATGCTGAGGTACGAAAAGAGGATGTGTTAGAAACACCAACATAACAGAGCAGAAATACATTTTCTACGGAAACTTGCTTTCTTAGAAATCTCGAACTGAAAGCACATGAAGGCCGCCTGTGCGCCGAACACTCAGACTCTTCCCCACTACAGCCACACGCTTCCAGGTGCAGCGACATGTGTAGGAAAATTGCTGTTTGCCCCAAGGCCATGTATTACTGTAGTACGATCTCTACAATTACTGTCAAGGGTTTGTACATAAACAGAGGAAATTTAAGTACAAGTAGGAAAGACGCTGCTGCCTCTATGAAAACTAAGTTTAAAGTTTTAGAACTCAATGGCAAGCTGCTAAAATAAAGTTGTGTTCAACTTCAGTGTGGTTGAAGGGAAAAATCCATGGAAATACAGATGTACTCTGCACACAGACTCCTTAGCTTCTTCAAGCTCTTTGCTTCTTGGTAAGGAAATGACAGCTAAAAGTTGTTGGTGATGGGTCAGCGGCAGGTGCAAAGGAACAGGGTGTGCAGGCGGCACACCTGCAAAGCCCTCCAGCGACACACCAAGAACAGTGGGTAATCTCACTTTATATTTTGAGTTATCTTTTAAAGAGATGATTTTTATATTAATACTTTTTGAATTAACTGACAGCTACTAGCAGTCCATGCTGAGTATGAGTCTTCTAATATGCCGTAAATGCAGTGTTCATTTCCAGGCACGTTACCAGGTCCGGGGCTTGAACCACGGGCGGTACATGCACAACAGTCCCATCAGGCGGTGTGTACCACTGGGGATACAAACTGATCTAGTCGTTTTTATTGGTCTTTTTACTAATATCAGAGCCACCCGGCAGCAAGACACATCAATTATGGCTCTGTCACGAACATGTTAAACCTTGCATGTTTTCTTTAAGATGTTTTTGGTTTTTTATTTTACACATTCAAAAGACAGAAAAAACCTAGAAGAAGCCAGAGAAAACAGGGGACATAACAATGATGGCCAACTACTCATCAGCAATAACATACAGCAAGGCAGTAAATCGCATCACTGAGTAAAAGACAAAAAAAAAATCCAAGTTCGGTGAAAACATGCTTCTGAGATAATGAAAAATTAAAAGATCTCAAATAAAAAAAGTTGACTGAGTAGACAGCAGATCTATATACTAAATTCTTCCAAAAGGCAGATTAGAATGCAAATTCTTGGTGTTAAATTAGGACTGGCGTAACTGTAACTGGATCTGATCCACCGCCATCCAATCATTCCCCACCAGTCACAAAAGGTTTCTGACCTACTCCGGGAGACCTCGGCCTTGGGGAGCAAGTCCCCCGTGAGTGAGAACTGCTGTCACACCACCAGCACTGCGCCGAGAGACACGGCTTCGCTCTTCAGCAGACTTACCTCTTTGCTTGGGAAATATCTGCTCAGGATGCTGTAAAATAAATTTAAGGTGTATCAGATAATTACTGTAACACATAAACTAAGCAAAATTTAAGAAAAGAAATTAAGATAGCTACCTTCATTATTGGCCGGGCTCGTTTCTCAAACAAACCACTTGGAAAAAGGTAAGTAATAGCTCTCTGAAAAGAACACACAAAGGTTAATTAGCAAGCGTAACAAAAACAAGTTCATCTTACAATGGATAGCCACTGAACACTTAGCATATGCACGTATGCAGCAGCAGAGTTCCACCGGCATTCCCAACTCCGCAGTTCTCAGATGGGACAGTAAAGTCACCGCACACACCCTCCCCTCAAAACCCTAAGGAGCATGTGGACTACTGACAACTTTCGACTGCCAGCTCTAAACGTGTGAGCCACTGAGATCCCGCAAGCACTGTGCCTTTTCTCTGGAAGGGAAAACCAGAAGCTATCCACACAACTTGCGCAGTATAGTGTTCCCAATCGCTGCAGCCCCCCGCGGGTGGTGCAAATAGCAAAGGAAACCCTGCCGGGCACAGGCTCTGGTGTCCCCTACCAAGACACCCTGAGGTTTTTAAATGCTCTTCCACCTCTCCCCACAGGTTCGATTTGACTTCATTTTGGGGTGCAGAATGGCCGTGGGGCCCCTGCCTGCCAAGCACACACAGCCACTGAGCCACAGCCCAGCCTGCCCAGAGTTTTCCAAACCAGTTCTTTCTGCGAGGCCCCCACTGACCCGGTGACGTGCTACCTCCTGCTCGGGAACGACCTCTCAGGCTCCGGGGGCCTCCTTCGGAACCCTCTCTCCTTGTGCCACGGCAGCACGTGCGTTCTCCTTCCGCGGAGACACGTGATGATGAGAAGACTGGCTGTCCTGGGACCTTCTGCCAACCTGTGTACCCCGTGAGCTGGTGGTGCATGTGAGCCCGCGCCGCCCCGTAGAGCCTGCCCTCGGACGAGCCCTTGATGCCCATGCTGCCACGCAGAGGTGTGCTGCTCTCATCCTGCCTGTGGCCTGGGGATACGACCCCCCTCCCCCGGCCATGCTGCAGGCTCTCATTCAGCCTGACACTGGGGAGGAACAGCTTTTCGTAAGTGACACTAAGACAACTGCCACTCAGAAAATGAGAAAAAGGGACCTAAACATCACACATACAGCAGAATAAATTCCAAACCTATCAGAGAGGAAAGCACCCAAAATACAAGCATGCAAGCACTAGCACTAGACAGAAGTGAATTCATCCACAACCTTGATATGGAGAAGTCTTTCCTCACTGTGATTCAAAGTTCGGAAGCAATTAAAAAGACTGACAAATTAAACTACAGAAACAAAAGAAAAATACAGCTCAGATGTACACATGAGAAAAGTACAAACCACTGATACGGCACTTTTCATCAGACACGAGCATCCAAAGTTCAGAAGTCTGCCACACTGCTTTGAGGCTACAAAGACACACAGTGACCAAAGGCTGGCGGGACAGCGGGAGCCCACCACCCCTGCAGCGGAAGCTCATGCTGTCAAACATGCTGTCTAACAGAACCAGGTGTGCAGTGACTCCACGCCTACAAGTTCACCCCCACACACAAACCACCCGACTCAGGCTGCTCACGGGACGGTAAGACCCACACACACTCGGGGGCCACCACGCCCCCACACAGGTGAGGTTAGTGATGTGGAGGACGGTGTCCCAGGTAGTCAAATGCTGGTCACTGAGACAGAGAGGGACCCTCAGTGACACAGCATGCGAGGGAGGCACACGCACAGGGACACACACACATCAGCCTCTCTGTGCAAATGTCAAAAAAAGTTAGGGCGGAGCTGATAAAAGCTGGGTCTCTTGACAGCCGGGTAAGCAGGGTGAGTGACGGGTGTCGCAGGGTAAGACTCCGCAGGGCGCACCTGCACACACCACCAGCCCGAGGGGCAGATAAATGCTTTGCATGTCAAAGAATAAAACCGGCAGGTCAGACTCTAAAAATGTAGACAGAAACAAAAAAGTACAAAACATCTGCAACTTCACTTGGTAGTCGTGCTGTGGCTATAATTCTAACATTTTGCGATACTGGAGCAAAAATACGTATTAATTTGAGGGAGATCAAAATTTTATTGTAGAATGGAAGGTACAAATATAAAAAAAGGGAAAACCCTGGAATGCTGTTTAATTTATGCAATTTCATATACACCCATAACTACAGTATTTACTTATCTATTTGCAGTACTGGTGATTGAACCCTGGGCCCCTGCGCTGAGCTAGTCCCAGCACCCTCTTTTCCTGCGTCAGTCCCCTAGAGGGCTGGGATTCCAGGCCTGTGCAACATGCTGGTAGCATGCTCAACAAGCGGGTGTACACCTATCTAAGCCTGTGTACACACATGCACACACGTAACCCAGGGGTGGGGCCGGGAGGAGAGAAAGCTGCTTCGCAGAGTAACACTAGTGATGAAACTAGAAGGGATGACAGAAGTAGAAATGGATCTCTTTCAACTTCCAAGTCAGTCATCAATCTCAGGGAAGGTTCCTTGACAGATGCTAACGCCAACAGCAGAAGGATGATCAGGGAACAGAAAATTCACAAGGATTCCAAATGGTACCCTAAGGATTACTTCCCAGTTACAAAGGGATCGCTTTTACCAGCGACCTAGAGGTCATCACTTTAATTAACCAAGCCACTGGTCATACAGTTATCGAAACAGGGACAAGCTGATATCACCTCTAGGGAGAAGTGGTAACAAGCACACATCACCTGAGTCACGTCCTTTATACTTTGTGACTCTGGTCTTGAGGAAGCAATCAGAAAGCCAGACCAGCAGCAGCTGTACAGAGGCCTAAACTCTACAAAACTAGACAACTAATGAAGACATGTTGGGGAAAACAGCAGGAATTTACGCATAGACTATACAACATTGTCATTGAAAAATCTGGAGAATATTTAGGCATTTAAAAAAAATTATTACAATGGAAGACACGTTGCCACAAACCCCCCTCAAAATGCCCTCCTTGGTTTCTATCCCCTCATTCTTGCCACTTTCTGCAGCAGTTCTGGAAGCCTTCTTTCGTGTGTCTTTGGTGATGTTGTCATGGTTGCCTCCATGTCCTGAATTGACTAAAAATGCTTCCCTTGCACAGTCATCTTGACTTTGGGAAGAGCCACAAGTTGCATGGTGCCAGATCTGTTGAATAAGGTGAAGGCACACTGCCATGCTTTTATGAACCTACGTTTCCACTGGGTGGCACCCAGCAGCGGCATTCGGTGTATTTTCGTCACACCCTGTGAAGATACTCACGAAAGAGGACTTCCAGAGCTGCTGCAGAGAGTCGTAAGAACTCTCTGGTGGGATACGTATGGAGGCAAGGGGGAATATTTTGATGGGGATTCACGGCCACGGGTCTTTTACTGTAATAAAAAGAAAGGATGATCACAAAAACAGGATGATCATTTCTCGATCACATCATGCATGACCTTACAGAATTGTTTAGTACATGTGATACAGTACTGCAGGAGACACTGGTATGAAGGATGCATGTAGTTAGAGGTTAACATAGGATGTATATGGGAGTTATGTTTATGATATCTGCAATTCTCAATGGATATGCAAAACAACTATTTTCTATATAAAGAAAGGCATGGGAATGTGCCAAAATGCTAACAACTGGCCAATCTACGGAATGAGGGTGTGTATATTCACTGGACACTCAAATGTTACCATAATTTCAGTTTCAAAGTAAAAAGGTGGGGAAAAGGTTAAAAATCTAAACAGTGTAAAGATGCTCTCAAACTCAACCACCACTACCCACAGCCTTCTGGGCCAGCAGACTCGGGCCGTGTCTGCCCCATCCACAGCAGCTCCACGCTGCCAGATCTCAGCAGAGCCGCCCCAAAGCCAAGGCCTACGCTATGCCATGGAGAACCAGCACTGCCCAAGAGTGGAGGGTAAATCACCACAACCCAGCCAGACGGGCATCCGATTCTCTACCAAGCACCAAGCTGCTCTTGGCATTGCTTACAAACATGAAAATTAGTTTACTTGGGTGATCACAAATAGAACCCCTGGAGGAAATGAAAATTGAAGAATTCCATCCCACAGTTGGATTACTCATGAAAACTAAGCCACAGAAAAGTCACAAGAAGTTCACTGGCAAGCCTGAAACTAAACCACTGCAAAGGATGTCTAGGACTTACGGGTGACCTCTGGTTTAAAAAATGAGAATAAGCCAACAAAGAATTCACTGGAGTACTCTGAAATTCAACTGAAAGAGTCAGGAAAGGGGAGTTTGCCTTTAAAAAACTCATCTCAGTAAAAGTAAGTCGGCACATACTTTGTTACTTTACAATCCTTCCCTCTTAGTTATGAGAACACAAGATGTTTGCACCAATGCTGCGGGAAAAGCCCACGGAGCAAGACATCCGAGTACAAAGCGACCCTGCAAATTCAGTAAAGAGAACGAAAAATCAAGAATGGAAGAAAAGAGAAAGAGAGAGGGAACAGTAAGTAAACAAAGCAGTTGTCTGTAAATCAAAAAGTTAAACACACACAACAGCAAAGACAGGCGCCCTAAACGCTCCTGCCAGCCTGGGGGTTTGTGCAGAGCGGCACCCACGCAACCGACCGCTCCTTCCCTCCAGCCTCTCCCGCAGGCATTCTGCAGTTTCCACAATTTTGAAGCAAGCAAAGGACTATCTGGCTATAATGAAAAAATAACTGTGCTGTTTTCTGGGTTCCCTTAACTCCCAGTTAAAAGACAGCTGTTAAAATGCAAGTAGCAAACGCCCTTATGAAGTGAGGGGATAGGAGAGGAACAGGAGACCCCCGAGCATGGGTGGGGCAGAGCAGCACGCTGTGCTGAGGAGGGCGCTCCGCACCGCACGGCACCGCACCACCCGAGTCCTGACCAAGGCGCTGCTGAGTAGCGGGACCGGACGCAGGGTGAGTAAAGGTCCTCACGGTGTCTCATCCCAGCCAGGGCTCCAAACCCACTGCTCTGGGACTCTCACTCGCAAGGGCACAGCCTCACCTGCCTGCTGTGGGGGTGGCACCGCTCCGAGCAGGCGCTCAGTCAGCATTAAACTCACGCAAAGCACACTGCTTCTCCTTTACTATATGAAATAAAACAGCCATGCATTCATAGGCTCCATTTCACAGGTGAAAAAGAGGCCACG